GCACCCCCAGCGGCCGCAGGTTTCGCCGACCCTTCTGTGGACCGGGTCCCCTGGTGACGCGTCTGCGTTCCACGTCTGGGGCTGCCTTGCTCACGTTCGTGCCTCTGGCACGGACAAGCTCACTGCCCGCACCCTCCCCTGCGTCTTCCTCGGTTTCCCCCTTGACGCGTCCGACTGGCACTTCTACCACCCGCGGTCTCACCGCTTCTTTCACTCTCGCGACGTCACCTTTGACGAGTCCGTCTCCTTCTACCGCCGCTTCCCCCACCGTGGTCCCCCGGTTACTCCCCCCCTGTTCCTGGTCACTCCTTCCCCGGTGGTCCCTGCCCCTCCCCCCCCCCGCCCCCCCGTCCGGCCCTCTCTGGTGTGTCTCACGTCACCCCCCTCCCGTCGGTCGTCCCGGTCGACGAGTCTTCTGACTCTGGTAGTCCTCCGGTGCAGTCCTCGCCGTCTATCCCTCCCCCGGTGTCTCCTCCTCCACCGCCTCTGCAGCCGCCGTCGCCGCAGCTGCTGCAGCCGTCGTCTCCGCCGCCGCCGCCGTCACAGCCGTCGCTGCAGCCGCCGCCGCCGCCGCCGTCGTCGCTGCCGCTGTTTGTGGGCCCTGGGGGTGTCCCTTCTGGGGGTGCCGGTGTGGAGGGTTCGGGAGGTAGCCGTCGCGCAGCTTGTGGCCCTGGTGTTGGTGTTGTGTCGCCGCAGCAGCAGTCCCCGCCGGTGTCCGCCCTCCGTCTGCTCGGCCTTCCGTCCCCTGACCCTGCGCCTGTTCCTCTCCTGCCGTCTCCTCCTCTTCCCGTCTACGGCCCCGTGTTCCCTCCGCCGGACTCGTCCCCGGCTCGTTTTCCCCCTCGTTCCCCACCAGTGTCCCCTCCTCTGTCTCCTGACCCGACGCCTCCCTCTCACGTCTGGTCTCGCCGCCCCTCCCGTGCTCGTCCTGTCTCCCCCGTCCCGCGCTCTCACCCTATGTTGCTCCGGTCCCACGCGTCTCGTCCTCCCCTCCTCCCGTCTCCTCCTCCGTCCTCTCTTGTCGTTGCGTCTCCTCCTCTGTCTGACTCCTTTCGTGCCGCTCGTCCTCTTGTTCCTCGGGTCCTTGCCTCTCTGGTTACCGACCCGTCTGTTCCAGTGTCGAGTCTTGACGCCCTTGTCGCTGCGGTCGCTGACTTCGCCTCTACCCGCCGCCTTGACTACGCCTCCGCTCTGGTCTCTGACCCTGCCTGTCCTCCGTCTGTCGGGGGTGCTCCTGCCCTCGGCAGTGACGTCCTGGAGGACCGCCAGTTTGAGCTTGCTTTCCTGTCCGAGGCTGCTCCCCATCTCTGTTCCATGCTGCTAGTCCCTGAGGGTGACCCAGACGCTTTCGACATCCCGACCCCTCGTACTTACGCTGAGGCGGTTTCGGGACCTTGGGCCTCTCAGTGGATAGCTGCCATGGAACAGGAGATGGCATCTTGGAGATCCACCGGCACCTTCGTCGACGTAGTTCCCCCACCTGGGGTGAACGTGGTCGATGGCCGTTGGCTCTTCAAGGTGAAGCGCCCTCCTGGAGAGCCGCCTGTGTTCAAGGCGCGCTACGTGGCTAGAGGCTTCAGTCAGCGCGAGGGGGTGGACTTCTTTCAGACTTTCGCTCCTACGCCGAAGATGACTACTCTTCGGGTTCTTTTACACGTAGCGGCTCAGCGTGACTACGAGCTTCACTCCCTCGACTTCTCCACTGCCTTCCTTCAGGGCAGCCTTCACGAGCAGGTCTACCTGCGTCGTCCTCAGGGCTTTACTGGTACTTTCCCCCCAGGGACCCAGTGGCTTCTGCGGCGCCCAGTCTACGGCCTGCGCCAGGCGCCTCGTGAGTGGCACGACACGCTGCGTGCTACCCTTGCTGACCTGCAGTTCTTTCCGTCCTCTGCAGACCCCTCGCTCTTCGTTCGTGCTGGCCCGACTCCGTTCTACTTCCTCGTCTACGTAGACGACCTGGTCTTTGCCACAGCTGACAGGGACGCACTGGCCTCCGTGAAGGCAGAGCTGCTGAAGAGACACACCTGCACTGACCTTGGAGAGCTGCGCCGTTACCTTGGCTTGCAGATCTCCAGGGACAGAGCCGCGCGCACCGTCACCCTGACTCAGTCACACTTGGTGCGCCAGGTCCTTCAGAGGTTCGGTCTTCAGTTCTCCTCCGCACAGCCCACCCCTCTTCCTCTGGACCACAGACTCTCCGCTCCAGTTCCTGAGGAGTCGGTAGATCCCAGTGGTCCTTACGCTGAGCTAGTGGGTTGCCTCATGTACCTGATGACTTGCACTCGCCCAGATCTCGCATACCCTCTCAGCATCCTGGCTCGTTTCGTGGCCACAGGCACACACCGACCTGAGCACTGGTCTGCCGCTAAGAGGGTTTTGCGTTATCTTGCAAGTACATCGGGCATGGGGTTAGTGCTAGGCGGACGCAGGCCAGTGGTCCTTACTGGACACACAGACGCTTCTTGGGCAGACGACGCCGAGACGCTCAGGTCTTCCCAGGGCTACTGCTTTAGCCTTGGCTCAGGTGCTGTCTCGTGGAGAGCTACCCGCTCCTCGTCTGTTGCCCAGTCCAGCTGTGAGGCTGAGATCTACGCCGGTGCCATGGTGGCACAGGAGCTCCGCTGGCTGACCTTCCTGCTCACTGACTTAGGTGAGCGGCCTAGCTCTGCCCCGGTCCTGTACGCTGACAACAGGGCCATGATCCTCCTGTGTCAGGAGCCTCGACTCGAGGGCAGAGCGAAGCACATTCAGCTGCGGTACTTCCTCCTGCGCGAGCTACAGCAGCGTCGCCAGGCTCGCGTAGTACACTTGGCCTCCGGTGCCAACACAGCTGATATCTTTACGAAGGCGCTTGCGCCTAAAGATCATCAGCGGCACTGTGTACAGCTTGGTCTGGTTCCTGTAGTCCCTCACTTACTCGGGCCTTGACTTTGTACTGTCCTATATATATGTGTACACTCAGACTGGACTTGTGTCCTCTCACAGTGGTTGGACTAGCAGTGCCGCCCTGTACTTGTTCTTGTCTTGTCTGTACTCCCTCTGACTGGTCTTTTAGACCCTTGTCTCAGAGGCTGGACTAGTAGTGCCGCCCTGAGCTGCTTGTCTAGGATATTCCCCTATGCAGTCCAGGGGGTGTGTCAAACATGTTTATTTATCATGTTCGTATAGACCGTATAGGGTAACCTCCTAGAGGGTACAACATTTAGGTATATGTGCATGTACTCTCTCTCACTAATCAATCATTCAATTCTAGTTTTGAGAGCGTCCCCCCCCAACCAGCAACCTTGTTATACCCTCGTTTTGCGTAGTTGTTAAATGTGGGAAACGGGGAAGTCATTCCTAAAAACCGAGGGGGTAAAATCGCACTGCCACGGAAAACGAAACAGAGGAGAGGGGGAATCGAAACTGACGGGGAAATGGGGAGGGAATCAAAATGGAGGGGAGGGGGGAAGCGAAACGACGGGGAGGGGGGGAAGGGGGGGGGGCGGTCGAAACGGAGAGGATGGGGGAAGCGAAACGGAGAGGAAGGGGGAAGTGATTGAAACAGAGGGGAGGGGGGGGGAATCGAAACGGCAGGGAGGGGGGAAGCTGGGGAATAGGACGGTGGGAGAAATTTCGCGCCCTTGCAGCGTCCCGGTGGGGAAATCTTGGACGTTAATCACAACATAACATCGAACGATTGATATATGTCGAAACGATCGCAAACGATCGTGACCGTTACATTTTGGTAGACTTTCAGTTGACCAAACGGGCAACTGGCGAGAATTTCCCTATGTTAAAAATGCGGAATTTACTCTCATTCCAATGCAGTTAAAAAAAAAATGTGAAAGTCTCATTCAAAACTTCTGGGTTGTTCCAGGTGTTAGGGAGGACTGTATCTGACAACATGACTTAGTCGAAATTTAGGGTGGGTTGTGGGGTGTGTGGGGGATGTCTCTAGTGTTCCGGGACTTCGCCGAAATTCTAGATGGGTTGTGGGGTGTGGGGTGGGGGGTGTCTCTAGGGTTCGGGGACTTGGCCAAATTTTTTTAGGGGTTGTGGGGTGTGTGGGGCATGTCTCTAGCGATTGGGGACTTCACCAAAATTTCCGAAGGTTGGTACTATACAGGTAATGAGTCAGGGTCTGTACGCGCTGTGCTCTGAAAACTCAGTACTGGGTTAGCGACAACTCTGATTTTCTCAGGATCCCTAGAATCGTACTTTGAAGGGATCAGGATTGGGAAAATGCCTTATCTGGAAATTCAGGTTTGGCCAAAAAACAGGTCTGAGATTTCAGACTAATCAGAGTAAATAGTCTGATAAAGTCAGCCCTGTGCTCGCCCAAACCCGTCGTAGAAACTCCGTGCGATGCACAGTGTTTTTGCGCAATTCGCATCCAAATGACCGTGTCGCAACAAACAGCAGAACGAGTTCTTTCGCCATTCCTCCAATCTGCAAGCTCGACCAAAATTTGTTTCAACGCACTTTTCTCGTTCAGGCTTGAACTCAAAGCTGCCTTCCATTCTATACTTCAACATATTTCAAAGCACCAAATTCAAGTGGTTTCCAGGTCTGCTATTTTAGCTGCGGGCTTTAAGTCTTGAAGTATCGCAAGGCTGTTAACAGTGACTCTGGTGTTACAACTTGTTAATACTGGCTGTTGCTGGTGGTACTTCCAGTATTACTTTCTACTTCAAGTACTTGTGTCTGCAGATTCTATACTTAGTCTCTTGCACCACCTTTCAAATTCTTTCAATTTAATCATGCGAATTGAGGATAGCTGAAATGGTTTGTATGGTTTGCTGTTTTCTGCAATGTTGTTAGATTCTTTTAAGCTTTGGTTTATGGATGAAAGCATCAGCTAGGGCATATAACATCAGATTCTTGAATGTACATTACAGAATTACAATTGGTCTATGATGTTTGTAATTTCGTTCTTCCATTCAGTTTTGCGGCTTGTACTGATCCGCGCACTAGAGATCCTAAGCACAACAGAGCTGGCAAACCCGTCCGCGCACCCAGTTCCCCACCATTTGCGTCACTTGCGGCGACAGGCTGTCCTCGCGAGGGAGATCCACAGCGATTTCGACGCTGTCACCTAGCATCCGGGCTATGGGCGTCACGCGCATTAGGCTCGCGAGGTTCGGTCGTAAGAACCTCCCGTTTTTTCGGATCCATGTGGCCGACAGCCGGTGTCCCACCAACGGTCGGCATATCGAGTGCGTGGGCCACTACAACCCGCTGCCAGGTCAGCCGTCCTCGCCCGCACGCACAGGCCCCCTACCCGGGTAGCGTCATCCATACGCACCTACTGTCGCGCCATACGTCACCCGACGCCCCGAACCCGATTTTCCGACTTCCCTCTCCTCCGTTTTGCTTTGCGTGCGACTTATGATTGCCTCTCATGCTTGCTTGCTTGCTTTCTTGCGTGCGTGCGTGCGCAATCCGCGTGCAGGCAAGGACGGCATGAAGCGCATCGGCATCAACACTGAACGCGTCAAGTGAGCCAGCATCCTCCTTTCCCCGTGGCTCGTTCGTCCTCGTTCCTCCTTCCCTGTGCCGTTTTGTTTCCTTGCCTTGCTTCTTGTATGATGCCCTCTCGTCCACTCCACGTCAGCATTGCTGCAACTCACCTTGCTGCTTAGCGTTTCAGCCTAAGGTGTGTGTCGTCTGGTGATGTCTTGGACGCCCAGCTTTCTCCACCCTTTCCCTGCCTCCTTCTTTGGTTACGCACCTATACTCTGCGTCTTGGTGTCCCCTATTCTATCTACAGCCAACCCCATGGGAAGCCCCCCTCCCCCCCTCCCCCCCTCCCCACCTCTTCGTAGCCACACCCTTGAACACGCTATCCATCAGCATCCGCCTTTTCACCCTCAAGCGTGCATTGTGCCCCCTTGGCCGACAGGTACTGGCTGTCAGTGGGGGCTCAGCCGTCAGAGACCGTTGCCAAGCTTCTAGGCCGTATAGGGTTGCTACCACCACTTCCTGTTCCCAAGCCCGCGTTGCCACAAGTACCAAAGCCCAATGTGGCGAAGTAAGATTTCCATAAGAATTTAAAGCTTGTTTGCAATGCAATGATTGTCTATGATAAATGGTAGCATGCTTAGCAACGGCCTTTCTAAGTAGGCATCACGAAATGCATTTATAAGGACGACTATCTATTTGTGACTCTTCTCGGAGTGTTCTGCACTGTTCGGCTCAATGCGTCTCTTCTGCTCTCGCGAATTTGCTGTGGAATGTTCGATCTTCCTCGCCGCCCTCGATCTTGTCACTCTAAAAGCACCACGCTAGATTCAAATCCCTCCGCCTCTCCATCTAGTTCTTTCTGAACTAGTTCCTTCCTTCTGTGTCCGATTCTACAAACCGTTCCAACCTCCCACCATTTCTGATTCTTCGCTTTCCTCGCCTCCTCCACATCGTCCCCTGAGCCACATCTACCGCCATGGCTGTGCGATCTCGCGTCCCGCCGCGCGTCGACCGGTTGCTGCTGGCCGTGGCGGCAGCAGCGGCGGCGCTATCAGCGTTATCAGCGCTGACAGCAGCGCGCGCGGAGGACTTTTACGCGGGCACGGACGTGATCGAGCTGACGGCGAGCAATTTCCGCAGCAAGGTGGCGCAGGACGACCACGTGTGGATGGTCGAGTTCTACGCGCCCTGGTGTGGCCACTGCCAGCGGTACGCGCGCTGTAGACACCCCAATAGGCTGATAAAACAGGCGAGAAAAAATAACGCTTGATTTGCGCTGCAAATCAAAACAAAGCCCTGGTGTGGCACTGCCAGCGGTACGCGCTGCCACCCGAATCACGTGCGATTGGCACTGCAGTGGCAGTGGCAATTGGCTGTTGCTTCTGGGAGTAAAAATCACGTGCGACTGGCGCTGCACTGAGGAAACGTACTCGTCCGCTGCTCATCGTTAAACGCTTCTTGCGTACTCGTTCCATCCGATTGCCCATGTGATTCGGGTCACAGAAAAACGCACACATGGTGCCCCGATCAATTTCCCGGCTTTCCCATTGTTCCGCCGCACGCCCCCATTTCCCTGTCTTCTTCTTGACACCCCTTTCTCTTGTCCTGCTCGCGTGTGGGGGCGTCTTTGTGGGGGATGGGAGGGGGTTGTGTGGGGAGGGGATGAGGTGGTGAGGCGTGCAGGTTAAAGCCGGACTACATCAAAGCAGCCACCGCTACCAAGGTCAGTGCGCTCACTGGGCTAGTCCTTTCATTCCTTTGCACAATGAAGCCCTGCTTTTTCCCATGCACCACTGTCAGCATCCCCACCGATTTTTCCATCCAGAGCCTCTCCCACGCACCCCGAGGTCCGCTGTGCTCATCCTTCCATGCATCTCCCCACGCCCCCTTCTTTTCTTGGGCTTTCCCTCCTGACTGACCCCCCCTCTGCAATGCACATGGCACATGGCACATGGCACATGGCACACCAGGGCATCGTGCGGTTCGGCGCCATCAACTGTGATGAGCACAAGTCCATAGCATCCGAGTACGGCATCCGCGGCTTCCCCACGCTCAAGCTCTTCGGCGCCAACAAGAAACGACCAGAGGACGTGAGCCCTGCTGTGCCTTGCTATCCCATGCCATGCCATGTCATGCTGTGCTGTACTTTGCCTTGCCTTGCCTTACCATTCTTGCAGCAGTCACCCCTGTCGAAAACACCCACCATGCAGCCTCTCTTCCCCACTCTCTCCCCCACGTCCAGTACAACGGTGCGCGCACGGCCAAGGCCATGTCAGATGCAGCCGTAGCAGCGCTCCCCAACCACGTGACGGTGCTCTCCTCCTCCTCCCTGCCCACCTTCCTCTCCGCCAACGCGCTCCTGCCGAAGGCCCTCCTCTTCACGGCCAAGTCCAGCACGACGCCGCTGTACAAGGCGCTGGCCATCGACCTCAAGGCGCGCATGGCGCTGGGGGAGGTGCGCAGCAGCAAGGAGCCCGCGCTCATGGCGCAGTACGGCGTCAAGCAGGGGCAGCTGCCCGCGCTGCTCGTGCTGCCGCTCAAGGAGGGGGAGGAGGGGGAGGGGGGTGAGGGTGAGGGGGAGACGGTGCGGTATGATGGGGAGCTGAAGCACAAGCCGCTGCTCATGTTCCTGCAGCAGGTGACGCCTAATGAGCCTTTACGCCCTCACACACCTTCATTCCCCCCCACAGCTTCAGTCTCATGCTCGCTCTATTGGCCTAACGAGCCCTTACGCCCTCACACGCCATGATTCGTTTGGCAAACTCATTTTCATGCATCTCATGTCCACTTGCGTCTCGCTTGTGCTGATATCTCTGCACAATATCTCTGCACAATATCTCTGCACAATATCTCTGCACAATATCTCTGCACAATATCTCTGCACAATATCTCTGCACAACATCTCTGCACAATATCTCTGCACAATATCTCTGCACAATATCTCTGCACAATATCTCTGCACAATATCTCTGCACAATATCTCTGCACAATATCTCTGCACAATATCTCTGCACAATATCTCTGCACAACATCTCTGCACAACATCTCTGCACAACATCTCTACACAGTATCTCTACACAATATCTCTGCACGATATCTCTGCACGATATCTCTGCACAATATCTCTGCACAATATCTGTGCGCAATATCTCTGCGCAATATCTCTGCGCAATATCTCTGCACAATATCTCTGCACAATATCTCTGCACAATATCTCTGCACAACATCTCTGCACAATATCTCTGCACAACATCTCTACACAGTATCTCAACACAATATCTCTGCACGATATCTCTGCACAACATCTCTTCACAATATCTCTGCACAATATCTCTGCACAATATCTCTGCACAACATCTCTGCACCTGCCACTGCGCCTGCCTTTGCATCCTCATGCCCACCGTCTCATGCACTCTCTGCTTTCCCTGTGCTGTTGTTTCTCTGTGTGACTGTACCTGCCCGTGCGTGCTTGTGCTCTGGTGCTCTGGTGCTCATGTGCTCTTATCCAGTACGCTCTTCCTAAGTCCAAGCGGGGCTCATCCAGCAAGACCCCACCCTCCTCTTCCAAGCCCAGCAGCAGCGGCAGCAGCAGTGGGGGGGCGTCAGGGGCAGGGAAGGGAGTGGGCGTGCAGCAGTTGAAGGCAGCAAAGGAGGTGGAGGCGGGGTGTGTGAAGGGGCATGGCTTCTGTGTCATCGCTCTGCTCAAAGGGACTGATGCAGCTCAGGTGCGCTCACCCACCCACACTGCTCGTGCTTGCAGTGCGTGTGTTTTTGTCCGGTCATGTGTGCTCTTCGTGCTATATGTGCATGTATCTACATGTGCCCATGTATGCATCCAAAAGCGTCCACACGCGTCCTTCTGTTTCCAACTGTGTCCTTTGTCTCCATATATGTCCCACATCCATACCCCCTCCACCAGGTATCCCAGCTGCAGCAGCTAGCGCTCAAGTACCACGGTGACCCCCTGCGCTTCTACTGGCTTGACGCCTCCACCTCCCCCACCTTCGCCGCGCTCTTCCTGCAGCCACACGACCTCCCCGCGCCCCCTGCCGTGGCCATCATCAGCGCCAAGCGCGGCAAGTTCGCTCTGCACGCGGGCAGCGTGGGGGAGGGGCTGGAGGCGCTGCTGGATAGGGCTGTGGGTGGGGACCTGCCGCTGCTGTCGAAGCTGCCAGGGGACTGGCACGCTGCCATGGACAGCAAGTGATGGCAGCAGGTGGACGCGTGTCGTGAAACGTGGAGGAACCTGTGGGAAGTCCGAGGTGTAGCGCAGTGGCAGTGACTGCTGCAGTGACGCTTTGGGGTGGGAGGTCATGCTGAGTCAACTGTAGGACATGGTCTTTATGGGTATGGTATGGTGGGATGTATTTTCAGATGGCAAGTTTTTTACTGACTGTGACCCAGATGCCATTGCCTCGTGTAACAAAGTACTCCATAACTAAACTATCCATGATTTTGTTTGGTATGTCATACTGTAACACTGCTCCAGGCGTCAGTCCCGGGCTAGTGGGGAATTCTTTCACAAATGGAATACTGACTCGTTGCAGTGCTGGTGCAGTGCTGCTAGCATGCTGTGCACTGCGTCACTGAATCGTTGCTCCAGAACTGCAGTCAATCAGACGCTGTCAGCGCCCAGCCCAACAACGCGAAGCTCCCTGGCCTTGCTGGCCCACTCATCACCCTGCACCATGCAGAAAGGGTTACACACAAGCAGTAGAAAGAACAGGAGGTTGAGCATGGCAAAGAGGAGCGCGAGTGGAGTGGAGGTCGCACTACGAGGGAGAGAGCACGCGGCAGGTGTCAGCAGCACGTGCTGATTTCAGAAACTTCGACAATCGTCAGCAGTGGCATTACCTGTTTCGTGAGTCGGTGGGCGAGCGCAGGAGCAGCATTGGCGGCTCGGAGCGCAGCAAGCTCACTGGCAGCATGGGCGAAGTTAGCGGCCTCCAGCACAGCAGAGGGCGCCACGGCTGTCAGCCCGTCCACGAGGGAGAGTGCGTGGCGCATGGCGAGGGAATAGTCGGTGAGGGCTCTGGCGCAGTTGAGGGCCGGGGTGAGGCTGTCGAATAGCAGCACATGGCGGGGGTGCTGGTAGGGAGAGGGGTGGGGAAAGGGTGTGAGGGAGGGGATGAGAGCAGCAAGTGACATGTGAGGGTTGCTGGGGGGGAGAGTGGAGGGACTAGGAAGCGATTGGGACAGCAGAAAGGGAAGCAACGACAGCAGCAGCAATAGCAACAGCAGTTCAAACACATCTGCCAGCCTCTCCATTGCAATAGCAGTCCTCTGTAAAGTACAAGGCAGCGGCCAGCCCAGTACCAGCTTGGCGGCGTAGGTGGCTTGGAAGGCGGAGAGGGCAGCGAGGCACGCCTTGGAGTCGCGGTGGGGGCTCTCGTACAGCGCCAGGCACTGCTGCAGGGCTGCCCGCGCTGCACCCTCCACCTCCCATGGTCCTCCTCCTGACCCCCACCCACTCCCCTTGCCTTTCCCACCTCCTTCTCCTCCTCCTCCTTCCCGCTCACCGCCCTTACCCCCCTTCCCCTTCCCCTTCCCTTTACCTTTCCCTTTGCCTTTGCCCTTCCCCTTTCCCCCTCCCCTGGCTGCACCTGCACCAGGGCCAGTCCCATTCTCCTCCAATTCGTCACCATTCCTCCCGCTCTCTCCCACCCCCTCTTCCACCTCATCCTCCTCCTTTCCCTCTCCCCCTTCCTCCTGCCCCCCTTCCATAATCACTACCCCACACGCATCGCACTGCCACTGCTGCCCCTCGCTGGAGCTTCCATTGGACTCCGATGGAGGCGGGGAGGGGGAGGGGTTGAGTGAGGCCGAGGGAGGAGCGAAGCGGCGGGGAGAGGCACGAAAGAGGGTGCCTGAGCAGCCGTTGCTGCGGCAGAGCACACCCTGATGGGGGGAGATTGGGGGAGGGGGGGGGAGGGGGAGAGAAGGGAGAAGGAGGAGGCAAGGAAGAGGAGGGAGACTCAGATACCCAGCGTACAGCATAAATGGCGCATAGCAGGGAGAGCAGCAAGGTGACATGCGGCATCATACACAGCAAGAGACAGAAGAGAGCGAGAGGGAGGAGCATTGCTTGCTTGTACCCGATCTACTTGTCTAGCTTGTACCCAGGATTCCCCAGCAACAAAGGACCATTCGAGGAAGGGACCTCGAGGAGTCGGTCGGAGGAGAGCAGCAGGGGCTCGGAGCACCGCTTGCATGAGCACACGAAGTGCTTGGATTCCAGCAGCTGCTGCTGGCGGCTCTCCCTGCTGTCGTACAGATTGATGTACGATACACACAGCTGCGGGGCACAGGGGGGGGTTGAAACGCATGGTATTTACACACGGTATCACACCCATGCAGCTGTGGTGATGTGCACACTAGCGCACCCGCACACATGTGTACTCGTGGCCAATCACATGCACATGCACATGCACATGGCAGTATGCGCACTGACCTCTGTGCCTTTGTCGATGTGGCATGTAGCTCGCACTACCATGGTGTTGCCCTGCGATGCAAAGCAGCAGTTAGGGCTGCTCATATGCGCACAGCCACACACACACACACACACACACACACACACACACACACACACAGGGTGGGCCCTACACTACAGGTAATCTTCCTATTCTACTAGCCTCTACCGACATTCTGCAAAGCTCGCTCCACATTCTGCTTCACAACTCCAGCCGTCCCAGTCACAGCGTGCCTTCTAGCTGAGCACATGGCGACCACAGTAGGCACCATGTGCCTTCACACCACACACGCGCATCAACGTGTCCTGGCTGGTGAAGAGTGGTGAGTGGGTCACACAATCTGGTGAGATATGGGAGGCTAGTTGTCTTGTCGCTATGGGATCCGGTGAAAACCAACTGCTCTGCACGTGCTGGTAGCCCAGGGTAGCTCTCGAGCGACATGGCAACCAAAGTAGGCAGCATGTGCCTACACACACGTGCATCAACCTGTGGCAGCTGGTGAAGAGCGGTGAGTGGGTCACACAATCTGGTGAGAGAAACATGAGTGGCAGTTCGCTTCGCACGTGCTGGTAGACCAGGGTAGCTCTCGGGCGATTCTGGGCGGAACAGGACAGAACAGAACGGGGTATCGTTGGGGCTGATTCCAGAAAATGTTAGCGGGATAAAGGGCACTTGCGGCCGGGTTCTAAAACATCCACCGTCCTGAGTCCCCTTGATTGCGGGGCATAAGCTCTGACACACATAGAGACAGAAGAGTGGGTGAGGGGGCGGGGGCGGATGGGAGGGGATGTGAATGGGGGAGGAGAGGGTGGGGGGGGTTTACAATAATGGACAGGCGCACTGGGGCCGCCAGTTGAGTGATCTGTGAGGGCAGTGTGAGCTGTTGGCATGATGAGATGAGTGATAGATTGCTGGAATGTTCATGAGAAGTACAACAATGGCACACCACCGAAAGAAGCACTCACGGAACACAAGGCATTATGTGGCTGCATGGCATGTGGCTCGGAATGCACATGGCATTACAAAGTATGCTCTCTCCTGTGGCGGAATGCAGGCAGCCACGTGCCAGTATGCGGCAGAACATGCCAGTACATAACGTTTGGTAAACGGAATGCAGAGAGTTGGAGGGGGAAGGAGACGGAGTGTACCGGCAGGAGTGGTTGAGCATGGAGACGAAGGGGAAGAGGCCCAGGGCGGTGTCGGTGTTGAGAGGACCGTGCGCACCCATGCCATGCACGTTGTTGGCTAGCAGCGCCGCCCACTGCTGCAGTACCGCTGCCAGGGTAGGTCCAGGGGGGGAGATGGGAGGGAGGAGGGAGGGAAGGAGGGGGGGGGTGGGGGCGGGGGGAGGGAAGGGGGGGGTTGAACAGATGAGCCCAGGACCACTGCTGCAGTACTGCTGCCGAGGCAGGGCGAGGTGGGGAGAGAGGGACAGGAGGGGCGGACAGATGTGCATGGTGTGGCTTGAAAGAGACGCACTCTCCAAAGGACTAATAAAAAAGGCTGCCACCGGTTTAAGATTATACCAAGCAGCAGCACGCATGACCTTCCTGGTCTGGTCCTACCTGTGTCAGTAAGAAGCGGTCTTGCCTCCCCCCCTCCCCCGCCCTCCTCCCCATTGAGCATGAATGCGGCAGCAGCAGTGAGCGCGGAGCACGCAGCAGCCACGGATGCAGCCCAGTCTGCCTGCTGGGAGGTGTCCTTGGCTGACAGGCACAGAGCGTCCTGCAGGGGCATGTGGGTGGGAAGGGATCGGTTATAAGGAGCATGCGGCAGCGAGAGGGGTGAGGGGAGGATGGGACACGGAGAAGGCACATGGAGGGAATGGCTATTTGGGGACGGAAGCGTGCTGAGGGGATGTGATACTGACAAGCAATACGAGCACGGACGATGGGTTTAGGGTGAGCACGGTGCCGCACAGGGGTACAGTGTGTGTAACGTGGTAACATGCCTGTAAGGTGGGTGTGATGGGGCTGAGAGTTGCGCCGGGCGATGCCTTGGACGCCTGGTGCTGTGTGTGGGGACAAGTGCCCTCCTGCGATGTGCTGTGGTGTGCCTGATGAATGCACAGGGGAGAGTGGGGGGAGGTGAAAGGACGGCCAGCAGCAAGAGACGGAGACGTGGTGGGGGTTTGGTTTGGGGTGTGAGGGGGAGGGAGTGGATGCGGAAGCGGAGAGAAATGTGAGGCTGAGGGAGGGTGGGCAGGTGAGCCGACCATGGCAACGAAACGACGAATCCGGACATGAGAAGAGCAAGGGACGTGCAAGAGGGACGGTGATAGAAAGAGAGAGGGCAGCAAATGCGCAAAAGAAGGAGACGGAGAGGAGATTGGGAGAAGTGAAGGCGCACACCTGAGCCATGCAGAGGAGGAGACGGAGGAGGTCAGGCGAGCAGTCAGCCGATCGTGCAATGGCAGGCAGGGCGCGGAAGAGAGGACAGAACACGCCGTGCTTGGACTGTGCTGATGGGGCGCACTCCTGCACTTGAGCGCAGGCACACACAATATGCACAAACAAAAATGCCCAAGACAGAAAGCATGAGGGTTGGCGAGTTTGCGGGTAAGCGTGGTATCGGGTTAGCGAAAAAGCCGGTTAGCGGGTCGGCGGGTCAGTGGGTCAACAGGTTAGCGGGCCAGTGGGCCAATGCGCCAGCGGGCCAGCGGGCCAGCGGGTCCTTCACTCGGCCATGGGGTCATTCCCTCGGCCATGGGGTCACTCACTCGGCCATGGGGTCACTCACTCAGCCATGGGGTCACTCACTCGGCCATGGGGTCACTCACTCGGCCATGGGGTCACTCACTCGGCCATGGGGTCATGCACTCGGCCATGGGGTCATGCACTCGGCCATGGGGTCATGCACTCGGCCATGGGGTCATGCACTCGGCCATGGGGTCATGCACTCGGCCATGGGGTCATTCACTCGGCCATGGGGTCATTCACTCGGCCATGGGGTTATCCTCTTAGCCATGGGCCAGCGAGTTAGCGGGTCAGCGGGTCCATGGGTGATTGGGTTGGAGGGTTGGCGGGTTAGCCCGCTAGTGGGTTGAGTAAAAAATGGGGCGGAGAGTGAGGGGCGGAAGGGTCGAGGGGAGGGTGGGGGGAGAAGTGGGAGGGAAGGAAGGCAGGGAAAGGGCGAAGAACGAAATGGGGGGAACGGGGAGGTTCGACATGATTGTGTGGACGGGAAGGGACGCACGGAGCAGAAGACAGCGAAGCCGCAGCCATGGCAGGGGTGGGGCGAGATTTGGGTGCCGGTGAGGCTGGTGCTGTCGGCGAAGGTGTGGCCGCAGCAGTGGCAGAGCACGGCGTGGTACGCGTCTCGCGGCACGAACAGCAGCGCCGTCTCCGCCAGCACCACCTGCCCGCGCTCGAACGACCTGAGGGTTCAGGGGTTAGGGTGCAGCAGCGGATTTAGGGAGAGCGCTGGGACGCGGTTCAGTGGACGGCGCTCAGCGGGGAAAACGCAGGGCTGACGGGAAGAGCGGGGATGAGGGACCGGGGGTTAGAAGAACGAGCAGCGTTTTCTGAGAGGAAGGGTGCTGAGACCCGCACACGGCAGTCAGCAAGGGGATGAAACGACGAGGTATGCGTGCAGGCGGGAGTGCATGGGAAGTCGGATGGTGCATGACAGGGCCGGAGCATGGGCGCGAATACAGTGAATCGGCGCTCACTTGCTAGCGACGGCGCACCGGCCCTTGCCCGGCTTGACCTGCACGCGCCAGTGAAAGCGCGCCTCCACGTCGCCCTGGCTCGGCAGCGCGGTACTACCGCTGCTGTTGCTGTTGCTGCTACTGCTGCTGCCGCTGCCCGACAAACTGTTTCCGCTATCGACGCCTGCTTCCGCGGCAGACTGCGCGCCGTTGCCTGCCGCGCGCCCCTTGGACTTGCGCTTGCTCTTTTTCTTGCCGTTTGCGATGCCGTTGGGTGCCGCGGCGGTCGCACCAGTCTTCTGAGCCTCGTCGCCGTCGTCCGCGTGACTTATCACCCCCATATCGTTGCGAGCGAAGGTGCCCAACCTAATCCAGACCGTTCAGCAATCTTGACGTCGCTCGGGTGGATTTCTCTTGCTCTGCTTTGCGCAGGGGACACTAGTTAGGTGCGCTGCAACCATCCAGGGTTTCTCTGATGCGCCTCCAGCAACAGGTGTTCGCTATAAACAACTCCTTTCACATTTGGTTGGAATTCACACATTTCTCCAAATGTTCGCGAATTGCACTGCAACCCACATGTCCGTGAATTGCAACCTCTGGTTATACGTGCACTTACATTTACTGGCTGCACTTCGCACAGAAGGGTGCTGCTTGCTTCGCGCTTTATCGAATCGATTCAACTTGACCTTTGCCAGGCCTGTTTGGCAGAAGATTGGTCAGGTGAAACTCGGAGCGACGAATCACGGCAGCCCCCAAAGCCCGCGAACTGTTCTGGCTCGGCCCGAGCCCACATCTTCGCGCTTCCCAGGCGACAGCAGAGTCAGCCGAGCCAGGTTCGGCATACACGCGCATGGCAGTCGCGGCGAGGCGAGGCGAGGCGAGGCAAGGTGAGGCAAGGCGAGGCAAGGATAATTTGGCATGGTGTGGTGTGTGGAGTTTTCAAGGGCTGGTCTCACCTCACCACCGCCCGACAGAATCCGTGCTGCCAAATTCCCCAAGCTGTTTCGCTTCAAGGAATTCCCCCAGGCAGCAGTTTATCAGACTCAAAAGAGTTCATTGTGCAGCTGAATCACAGAAGCTTGTCGGGAGCTCAAAACTTGAGTGAGATAGTCAGATTTAGGTCTCATCTCACCAACACCACCACCGCCACCGCCACCACCGCCTCTGCGTGCGTTCGCAGCGGGATTCGCCATGGAGTTTTTCTTCTACGCGCTCTTCGCGCTGCTGCTGGCGCTGTGCTGCGGGCTGGAGTTCAGCAAGGGCCAGAACGACCGCGTGCAGACGAGCTCCGCGTTCGAGGCATTCAAGAACAACTACCTCGTCGTCTACTGCCTCATGATGGGTACGCACACCCACGCCCTTACTCTCTTTCATATGCTCGGCGTATAATTCTCGTCTTATTAGTGTGAGTGCTACACCATTGTCAAAATTGAAACCAACTTTTTTGCTGACCGGCATTGGATCTGTGGTGTGTGGATGGATGGTGCAGCGGGCGACTGGCTGCAGGGGCCGTACGTGTACGCGCTGTACCAGCACTACGGCTACGACCAGGGCGACATCGGCCGCCTCTTCATCGCGGGATTCGGATCCTCCATGATCTTCGGCACGATCGTCGGCTCCCTTGCTGACAAGCAGTACGTCACCTGAACCTTACCGAGGAATTCCTGCTTTCACAGCTACTCCCTTTCTCGTGACGCACATCCGTCCTCTTTCCGTCGTGTCGGTCGGACCGAGAGTCTTACTGTTCCGTCCTGTCTCCCTGGGAATTCCCGGCTTTCATTCTTCTCGGCGTTTCTGCCATCTCCTGTCACACAGGCTCCCAGCCTCGCCATTCTCTCGCGTAGATCTCCCCTTTGCCATTGCTCCTATCCCCCAAATTCCACCGCCGCCGATCTCGCTCGCTCAATGTGCCGTATCCTTCCCGATGTGTGTATCTGTGTGTGTGCGCGTGCACTTTTCGCAGTGGGCGGCGCAACGCGAGCATCATCTACTGCATCACGTACATCCTGAGCTGCTTCACCAAGCACTCGCCGCAGTACGGCGTGCTCATGGTGGGCCGCGTGCTGGGCGGCATCGCCACGTCGCTGCTCTTCTCCGCCTTCGAATCCTGGCTCGTCGCCGAGCACTTCAAGGTACGCTGCGCGTGCACGCCTGTGCGGCTCAACGACGCTGCGCTGCCTGCTGGAAGAGCAGGCGATCATGAAGAACTACAACACCCTTTTTTGCTTCGACGAAGGCATGTAACTTTAGAAACGAATCTCCCATATTGAGGATGACTGGAAGAAGAATATTGTCGGTTAGAATCATGTTGTGATTGGTTTCGTGTCTCGCCCTATACGAGGAAAGGACGATCTCTTCTTCTTGTCATCTCGCTCTCGCCGCGCGTTTCTTCCTCATTCTTGCCTCCGCATCGTTTCCTCGTTTACTGGCTCCCTACATTCGCCCTTTTTTTTCCGCGAATTATGCCGTTCCTTCTACCCCAACCCCCCAATCTCTCCCTCCCTCCTCGCTCTGTCACTCAATCTCTTTCTCTCTCTCGCTCCGTCCCTTCCGTCTCTACGTCCTCTTCCCTCCCACCCGCACCTCCCTCCCGCTCCCCACCCTTCCTCACCCCTCTCCCATCTCTCTTCCCTCCCGTTTCCGTTACTGGCCTCGTCAATTCCCCTCCCTTTCCTCCCATCCCCCCCATCCCCCCCATCCCCCCATCCCCCCATCCCCCCCATCCCCCCCATCCGTCCCCACGCCACAGCGCGGGTACGAGGCGCAGTGGCTGTCGGTGACGTTTTCCAAGGCGATCTTCCTGGGCAACGGCCTGGTGGCGATCGTGGCGGGGCTCATCGCCAACACGCTCGTCACGGACCTCTCGCTGGGGCCCGTCGCGCCCTTCGACGCCGCCGCCGTGCTGCTCGCCATCGGCATGGCGGTCATCATGTACACTTGGCCCGAGAACTACGGCGACGCCAGCGAGAACAAGGGCCTCGCAACGCAGTTCAAGACCGCGCTCACTGCAATCACGTCCGGTGAGCTCATTCGACTCGTCTAAGTGCCCGTCGAGAGCCTTAGAACTTCCCAGCAGCTTTCGCATTCCAGCCCCCAGGCCAGGTTCCTGTGCTCAGCAGTCTCTCCCCATGCCTCTCCCATCCTACAGACGAGAAGATCGCGCTCCTGGGCGCCATCCAGTCGCTGTTCGAGGGCTCCATGTACACGTTCGTGTTCCTGTGGACGCCTGCTTTGTCGCCCAACAACCAGCGCATCCCGCACGGCTTCATCTTCGCCACCTTCATGCTCTCCTCCATGATCGGCTCGTCGCTCGCCTCGCGCCTCATGGCGCGCCAGAACCTGCGCGTTGAGCTCTACATGCAGATCGTCTTCTCCGTCGCGTCCGTCTCGTTGCTCGTGCCCATCCTCAATTTTGTAAGAAACTTTTTTCTTTTGCTCGCGCACGCACACCCCAGCCACACGTGCAGAGGCTCGGAGAGGCTAGTTGCACCAACTTGCAGCTCGCAAGAATTTGGGTTCTTCAGCAGTTCTGGCTGGGTGCTTACTGGCTCTCTGTCGTTCTCGTGCAGGTGTTCATTGAGCCGTCGCCTCCGGAGGGCGGTGGCATCACGGCCGGCGGGCAGTTCCAGCTGGTGGGGTTCTGCCTGTTTGAGGTCTGCGTGGGCATCTTCTGGCCGTCCATCATGAAGATGCGGTCGCAATACATCCCCGAGGAGTCCCGCGCCACCATCATGAACTTCTTCCGCATCCCCCTCAACATCTTCGTCTGTGTTGTCCTCTACAATGTAAGCCTTGTTACTCGCTGCAGCCTGTTCCGCCCGTTCAGCCAGTTTAGCCCATTCCGCTGCCGCTGCCAGGTTACTGCTAGTCGTGCAGGGTGTGATCACCTTTTCACTCTCGTTGTGTGCACCCTGCAATGGGGACAGTGGCAGAGAATGTTCTGTGTGTTTGCTTTGCCGTTGTGCTGTGTGTCCGTGTGTGCAGGTGAGCGCGTTCCCGATGACGGCCATGTTTGGCATGTGCTCCTTCTTCCTGGCCATCGCTGCCATCCTCCAGCGCAAGCTCATGGCAGCTGCCGTCAAGCATGCCACGTATGGTAAGAGAGGGGGGGTGAAAAAGAGAGAGTGAAGAAGGGGGGTGGGGGGAGGAGGGGGGTTCAAGTGCGAAGAGGGGGGTGATACGATGGGGAACTAGGAAGGAAGGCACAGCGAAAGGGGGAAGGGGGGTGCAGGCAGCGAAAGGAGGGAGGTACAACCAACTAGTCCTCACTCCTCTCCACGTACTGGATGGTTTTCTGCTGTTTCACCTTTTTTGTTCCGTGTTTTTCATCTCCTGTGTGCGAAGTCTCAGCAACCGTGGACAATTGGGAGACAAAAGAGCTCAAGGATACCTCTGATACTGTCCCAGCAATATAGAGTTGCAGCTCTGGCATTCCACACATCATAGCAGTTCGGATTTTGTCACGTGCTGGTATGCACCCTCCGTGTGCTGATGCATATCTTGTTGCATAACTGGTATGTAGGAGTAATGCTAGGCGACATATAGGAGCCTTCATATGCAAACCAACACAATTTTTTACATACACATGAGATTCTTTTATACATGTAAGATAGTGCCCCGCTTTTATACATGTAAGTTCAGAGGAGCGCAATGGAGTCCAAGCCTTGGCCCTGAGATATCAGGCTTTTTAGGCTGATCTGGGTTTCGGGTCCAGGCCATATCTTGGCATTGGCTAATGCAAATGATACAAAGGCTTGTGAGGGACTTGTTGTTCAAGAATAAGTCTCAATGGGCAGTTTGCAAACACAGGAAAATCAGAGACAATAGAAAAAACAGCCATTGAAATTAAGCAAACCAGGGCTTTAAGGTTGATATCTGAGGCCTCCAAGGGCTGTGAGGTCACATCTTGCAACTGGTGGCTGAGGATGAGGTTAGGGCCACCCAGACTGAAAGAATGATTGTTTCTGTCTCAGATCCAACGACGTCCACAAATTGGCCTTTCCTCCTCGAAATCTGTTTCGAGGACGACTTTGTGCCAGCTGTCGCAAATCTAACCGAAATCCCGAGCCTTTGAATTCACAATGTTGTGCTGCGCTGGCACCCAAACCAGTCGAAATCGATTTGAGGCAGAAACATCACATTTGTGCTGTACAGCACAACAGTTTTGAGTCACGAAAGTAATACATCTTTTGATCAATTAGTGAGGTTGGGTGAGTTGGGTCGCGTTGGAGAACGGTTGGTCTGTATTTAGGAGTTTTCAAAGAACGTCTTTCAAGAGAAAATGTACGCTTGCGACAGCCCATATCGAACCTCCGAACGCGCAGGAAGTTTCGAAAAAGGCTCCTGAAGTCCTCAATTTGCATCGTCAATCTCATAAATTCGCCCCGTGCCACTGGTCCGCAACAGCAACCACCTCACCCCGCCACCCATTTCATGTCTTCCCATCCCACCACCACCAACTGACCACATCCTGCGTCCTTTCCAGGCCGCGCTTCGCATCGCAGTCGCTGCAGGGCATGAAGAGTGAATGGGAGAGAAGAGAGGAGTGGAGTCTGCTTGCCCCTACAGCACTGTAGCACGCACACAGCCCCACGAAATTTGCCCTCCCTGCCCCCCTCTCCCCCCACAAGCCACCTCACAATGCATATCGGTTTGCAACGCGTCCATTCACGACTGGGCACTTGCTTCCTCTCCCCCACCCCTCCTCCATCCCACACTCTGAATTTAGCCTCCCCCTTCGAGATAGACTCGTTCTTCCTTCCATGTTTTCCACATTTTGGAGTGAATTGAATTTTTATCATGATCCCTGCTCCCTCCCACCTCGGGCGTGCTGACGCTCCGTAGCGGCCCGCAGCCATGGCCCCTGCGCACGGCGAGCAGCCGCCCTCCGCTATGTTCGCCATGGGATCGCTGGGCGGCGGAGACGGCGGAGTCAACGCGGCGCAGGGCGCGGTGGAGCTGTTCGCCTCGTACGGAAGCTACGGAGGCGGCAGCGGGGGCAGCAGCCGCGGCAGCAGGAGCTGCCGACACACCAGCAGCGGCAGCGGCAGCGGCAGCACCAGCACCACTGACGTCGATATTCTATCCTCTTACAGCAGCAGCGGCGCCACCGCCACCACCATCAGCAGTAGCAGCTGCCACGACGGCGGTTTCACCGGCTTGAAACCCGCCGACCTGCCGTCAGACCTGCCGGCCTTCTTTCCCAGCTACAGCAACCATCGCAGCCCTAACTGCAGCCCCAGCCGCAGCCCGGCGCGCACTTCCTCCTCTCCCGTGCACCTCCCCGACATCGTGCCCCGTTTCGGCGCGTTCTGCGGCGCAGCGACCGGCCAATCGGGCGAGTTGCGCCTGGGCGGGGGGGATCAGTTCTCCCGCCCCTCCAGCACGGGCGGATCCCCCCTCGCCTCCTCCTCGCCCCCCCCAATGCGATTCTTGGGGGAGTTTCCCCGCGATCCCACCTTCAGCTATGGCGGGCTCAACGCCCCCCCTCCAGTGGCGGCGTCCGCGGCGGCGGCGGCTTTCTATCGCGACCCGACGTTGGGCGGCGGCGGTAACTGTAACTCCGGGCCATTGCCGCGAATCCCGCGGGACGCTAACTCGAACCGCAGCGGCTCGATTTACAACGGGTCGCCTTTAGGATCCGCGACGAACTCGCCCCGCGATATCGCACGAAGCTACAGCGCCAGCGGCGCCGGCGGGCGGACGACGACGACGGCTGCGATGGCGACGGCGACGGCGACGCAGGCGAACTCGAGCACCAAGGGAATGTCGCTGAGCGCTGCGATAAGCCAGTCGCACAGGGAGCAGGTGCAGCGTTGGAGCCAGAACCACTCGCTGCCGCAACACTACTGCAGCGGCGGCAGCGGCGGGCACGGCGGTGGTGGTGCGATGAATGCAGGCAGCGGCGGCGGGAGCAGCAGCAGCGACCTTCTGTTCCCTTCTTATCCCGCGGACGCCCAATACAGTCACATGCATTTCAACGGCGGGGATGGGGAGGATGGCGGTGGGGGGGGCTTTGGCAGCGGCGCGCGTTCGGGTGCGTCGGAAATCGCAATGCGGTCGCTGCACGGCCGTCGCACGAGCAGCGGCATGATTCGCACGATCGGCGCAATCGGCGGCAGCGGCGGCGGTGGCGCCTGCGCTTACGGCGGGTTCTCCTCGCCAGGTTCCCCCGATAGTCTGCTGTTCCCCCCGCACGGCGCGCCGTTGCCGCTCTCCGCGGGGACCTCCCCCGATCACCCGCACTTCGTGGGCGCGGCGGGAGCGGGAATCGGGCGGAGCCACTTGGCGGGTGGTGGGGTGGTGCGCAGCCATTCACTGCTGCGGTCGTCGAAGTGCGGAGGACCCACGCGATCAGAGAGTGAGCTTCCTGTCATGCATCCTTTCCTCTCTTGCCTCTCCTCTCTCCCCTCTCCTCTCCCCCGTCCTATTCACTCAAACTCTCATTCGACCTTCCCTGCTCCTCTCCATTCCCACTAACCCTCTACCGCCTCTCTCCCCTGCGCCCTTCCCCCCCCCCTCCCCACCCCCTCCCTTCCACCTTCTCTCCCCCCCTCCCCCCCTCCCTCCTCTCCCTCCTCTCCCTCTCCTCTCCCTCTCCCCTCCAGGCAAGGACGACCTCACGCTGCTCATGGACGCGCGCGCGCGCTCCAAGCTCGGCGCGCAGTGCGAGTGGGCGCAGGGCAGCTCGCGCAGCCCGGACAGCCTCGCCTTCTCCGCGTATGATAGCCCCCGTGTGGGGGGCGGCGGCATGGGCGCTGGCAGGAAGCTGAGCACGGATAGCACTGCCTTCATGGACTTCCGGCCCTACAACGCTGCTGCTGCTGCTGGGGGAGGTAACACTGCTGCTGCTGGGGGGGTTGCCGGTGTGCAGCGGCGCGGAGGTGCCAAGGGCGCGTTCAGTGGGGCGCTGAGCATGGACTTGGAGTCGGACCTGGCGGTCATGTCACTGACCGAGCCCGAGTGTGTGCCTGTGGATGCCGTTCTGCAGTCCAGCGGTGCGCTCAACACGGCTGTAGCAGCGCCTGTGCCAGCAACAGCAGAGGGAGAGGAGGAGGGGGACGAGGGGGAGGATGAGCTGTCACTTGTGCCGTGCCTCAACTGGGAAGGTGGGTGTGAGCGCTGAGTGTAAGCATGAGTGTGGCTGTGAGCGTGAGTGTGCGTGTGAGCGTGAGTGTGAGTGTGGCTGTGGGCGTGACTGTGGCTTTTAGTGTGGCTGTGAGTGTGGCTGTGAGCGTGAGTGTGGCTGTGAGTGTGGCTGTGAGCGTGACTGTGGCTGTGACTGTGGCTGTGAGTGTGGCTGTGAGTGTAGCTGTGAGTGTAGCTGTGAGTGTGGCTGTGAGTGTGGCTGTGATTGTGGCTGTGATTGTGGCTGTGAGTGTGGCTGTGAGTGTGGCTGTGTGTGTGGCTGTGAGTGTGGCTGTGTGTGGCTGTGAGTGTGACCGTGGTTGGTGTTCGGTTTGGCAGCAAACTTTGCTTCTGTTCCCCTGCCTCATGACTCCCATCATCCATACTGATCTTTTCTCTCCAACCACACTCCTCCCCCCCCCTTGCCCACCCCACCCTCCCTCCCACCCCTCCCCCCGCTTCTGGGTGCAGCGGTGGAGGCCCTGTGTCTGGACATGGAGTTGGACCGCCGGCGGATAGAGGCCATCCACATACAGCACACCGCCACTGCAGCCCCGCGCCAGCCATCCCCTGCCTCGCAACTGGCGTCTTCCTGCTCTGGCGTGGACCCTCCGGTGCTCTACGCCTTGCAGTTCGCTGGGGAAGACGAGTGGTTCTGGCCGGGCTGCAGGGGAGGGCTTGGGGTGACTGCTGCAGCCACCATGGTGGCTTGAACTTGGTGTTGGCTGGTTTGGTTGAACTGATGCATGCTCGTTTGATGAGCTAGTGTGAAAGTGTTGTGCATGTGGATTTGTGTTTCTTGTTTCCTGATACCCCACAATTCTGAAGGCCTGCACGATTGTTGAGCTCTAAATATCAGAATGAGAGAAGTGAATGATGAGTAGTGGGAGAGTACAGATAGATATACCTAAGTATTGTACCCTCTAAGAGGTGACCCTATGCAGTCTATGCAAACACAACGAACACACATGTTTGACACGCCCCCTACACTGCATAGGGGAATGTCCTGAACAAGCAGCTCAGGGCGGCACTACTAGTCCAACCTCTGAGACAAGGGCCTAAAAGACCAGTCAGAATGAGTACAGACAAGGCAAGAACAAGACCAGGGCGGCACTACTAGTCCAACCACTGGGAGAGGACACAAGTCCAGTCTGAGTATACATATAAAAGGGCAGTACAAAGTCAAGGCCCTAGCAAGTGAGAGGCTACAGGGACTAGACCAAGCTGTACGCAGTGCCGCTGATGATCTTTAGGCGCAAGCGCCTTCGTAAAGATATCAGCTGTGTTGGCACCTGAGGCCAAGTCTACTACGCGAGCCTGGCGTCGCTGCTGTAGCTCGCGCAGGAGGAAGTATCGCAGCTGAATATGCTTCGCTCTGCCCTCGAGTCGAGGCTCATGGCACAGGAGGATCATGGCCCTGTTGTCAGCGAACAGGACCGGGGCAGAGCTAGGCCGCTCACCTAAGTCAGTGAGCAAGAAGGTCAGCCAGCGGAGCTCCTGTGCCGCCATGGCACCAGCGTAGATCTCGACCTCACAGCTGGACCGGCAACAGACGAGGAGCGGGTAGCTCTACACGAGACGACACCTGAGCCAAGGCTGAAGCAGTAGCCCTGGGTAGACCTGAGTGTCTCGGCGTCGTCTGCCCACGAAGCGTCGGTGTGTCCAGTAAGGACCACTGGCCTGCGTCCTCCTAGCACTAACCCCATGCCCGATGTACTAGCAAGATAACGCAAAACCCTCTTAGCGGCAGACCAGTGCTGCGGTCGGTGTCTGCCTGTGGCCACAAAGCGAGCCAGCATGCTGAGAGGGTATGCGAGATCTGGGCGAGTGCAAGTCATCTGGTATATGAGGCAACCCACCAGCTCTGCGTAGGGGCCGCTGGGCTCAACCGACTCCTCAGACACTGGAGCGGAGAGTCTGTGGTCTACAGGCAGAGGGGTGGGCTGTGCAGAGGAGAACTGAAGGCCGAACCTCTGAAGGACCTGGCGCACCAAGTGTGACTGAGTCAGGGTGATGGTGCGCGCTGCTCTGTCCCTGGAGATCTGCAAGCCAAGGTAACGGCGCAGTTCTCCAAGGTCAGTGCAGGTGTGTCTCTTCAGCAGCTCTGCCTTCACGGAGGCTAGTGCGTCCTTGTTTGCTGTGGCAAAGACCAGGTCGTCAACGTAAACAAGGATGTAGAACGGAGTCTGGCCAGCACGAACGAAGAGTGAGGGGTCTGCGGAAGACGGAAAGAACTGCAGGTCAGCAAGGGTAGCACGGAGAGTGTCGTGCCACTCACGGGGAGCCTGGCGCAGGCCGTAGACGGGGCGCCGCAGGAGCCACTGGGTCCTAGGAGGGAAGGTGCCAGTAAAGCCCTGAGGGCGACGCAAGTAGACCTGCTCGTGTAGGCTGCCCTGAAGGAAGGCAGTGGAGAAGTCGAGGGAGTGAAGCTCGTAGTCGCGCTGAGCAGCTAGGTGTAGCAGAACCCGAAGAGTAGTCATCTTCGGGGTCGGAGCGAAGGTCTGGAAGAAGTCCACCCCCTCACGCTGACTGAAGCCTCTAGCCACGTAGCGCGCCTTTAACACAGGCGGCTCTCCAGGAGGGCGCTTCACCTTGAAGAGCCAGCGGCCATCGACTACGTTCACCCCAGGCGGGGGAACTGCGTCGACGAAGGTGCCGGTGGATCTCCAAGATGCCATCTCCTGCTCCATGGCAGCTATCCACTGCGAGGCCCAGGGTCCCGAGGTCGCCTCAGCGTAAGTGCGAGGGGTTGGGATGTCGAAAGCGTCTGGGTCACCCTCAGGGACTAGCAGCATGGAACAGAGATGGGGAGCAGCCTCGGAGAGGAAAGCAAGCTCGAACTGGCAGTCCTCCAGGACGTCACTGCCAAGGGCAGGAGCACCCCGGACAGACGGAGGACAGGCAGGGTCAGAGACCAGAGCGGTGGCGTAGTCAAGGCGGCGGGTAGAGGCGAAGTCAGCGACCGCAGCTACAAGAGCGTCAAGGCACGAGACCGGAACAGACGGGTCGGTAACGAGAGAGGCAAGGACCCGAGGAACAAGAGGACGAGCGGCACGAAGGTAGTCAGACAGCGGGGGGGGTGCAACAACAAGGGAGGACGGAGGAGGCGACGGCAGAAGGGGAGGACAAGACGCGTGGGAACGAAGCAACATAGGGTGGGAGCGCAAGACAGGCGAGGCAGGACGAGCACGGGAGGGACGGTGAGACCAGACGTGCGACGGAGGAGTCAGGTCAGGAGACAGGGGAGGGGACACAGGAGGGGAACGAGGAGGAAGTCGGGCCGGGGACGAGTCCGGCGGAGGGAACACAGGGCCGTAGACGGGAAGAGGAGGAGACGGTCGGAGAGGAACAGACGAAGGGTCGGGGGACGGAAGGCCGAGCAGGCGAAGGGCTGACACCGGCGGGGACTGCTGCTGCGGCGGCACAACGGCGACACCTGGACCGCAAGCTGCTCGTCGGCCACCACCGGCACACTCCACACCAGCACCCCCAGAGGATCCACCTCCAGGGCGACCGGGACTAGCACCCCCAGAGTCAACGAACGGGTGCTGCGACGGCGGCGGCAGCGACAACGAAGGCTGCAGCGGCGGCAGAGGCGGTGGAGGAGGGGACTGGGGAGGGGACGCCAGGGGAGGGGCGGCCGGCGAGGACTGTGCAGCAGGGCCACCAGAGTCAGAAGACTCCTCAACCGGGTCTACTGACGGAAGGGGGGTGACGTGGGACACACCAGAGGGGGCAGGACGGGGAGGAGGAGGAGGAGGGGCAGGGAATACCGGGGAAGGAGTGACCAGGAACAGGGGGGGGGTAACCGGGGGACCGCGGTGGGGGAAGCGACGGTAGTAGGAGACGGACTCGTCGAATGTGACGTCGCGGGAGTGAAAGAAGCGGTGAGACGGCGGGTGGTAAAAGTGCCAGTCGGACGTGCCAAGGGGAAAACCGAGGAAGACGCAGGAAAGGGTGCGGGCAGTGAGCTTGTCCGTGCCGGAGGCACGGACGTGAGCAAGGCAGCCCCAGACGTGGAACGCAGACGCGTCACCAGGAGACCCAGTCCAAAGACGGGTCGGCAAAACCTGCGGCTGCTGAGGGTGCGACCACATGTTAAGCTGGTGAGAAGTGTAGCGCACAGCGAACGGCCACAGAAAATGGGGTGCACCGGCATGGATCATGGAGGTGCGAGCCACCTCCATGACCAAGCCGATGCGTCACTCAGCGACCCCATTCTGCTGTGGGGAGTCCGGTAGGGTGAACGTCTTGGTGATGCCCTCCGCACGACAAAAGGGACCAAGGACACCGGAGGCAAACTCGCCACCACGGTCGGAGTGAAGACGCAAGGCAGGGAGACCGCGGTGGACACGCGCAGAGACAAGCCAGGGGATGAGAGCGCCAGGCACGTCGGCCTTGCGCTCCAGGGGAAAGACTGTGGTGTAACGAGTGAAGTCGTCGACAAGCACAAGGAAGTAGCGCTCTCGACGCGGCCCATGGACGGGGGCGGGGCCCCAGACGTCCAGGTGCAGGGTCTGCAGCGGCGCGGCGGTAGGGGGAAACGAGGAGGAGTGAGGGGCACAGCGAAGCCGACCCTCGACACAAGGCGTGCAAGGTGGGGCTGGGGAGGAGGGAAACGCGGGGAGAGAACCTGGGAGACCAAGGACAAGACCGTGCTGGGACATGTGACGCAGACGCGGGAGCGCAGGGTGACCTAGGCAGTGGTGCCAAAGGAGAGTCGGGTGAGTGAGGGACCGACAGGAGCAGGCAGCAGCAACCTGGGTGAGCGCTCAAGCCGGGGGGGTCACGGTGTCCAGAGTGAACAGGCCGGACACCGGGTCCCGGGGGAACGTGGACAGGGGGGCACCAGTGGCGGCCTCGGTACAGACAGCATACCGCTCGTGACCAGGGAACGTAGTGGTGACGCCAAGGTCCTGGAGGCAGCCGACACCAACTAGGTTCCTGGAGAACGAGGGGATATGCAGACCTGTAAGAGTGCCCGAAGGAACCGCCGGACAGGGAAGGGTGGTGGATTTGCGGGCGACTACCGGACCGCCGGAGGGGTCAGCAAGAGAAACGGCAGCAGGAACAGGAAGCGGCGTCAGTGTGGTGAAGTCGCGGAAGAAACACCGGGAAGCGCCAGAGTCCAGGGTGAAGGAAAGCGAAGCAGAGGCGTCTGGCGACGGAACGACGGCGGAAGCACCAAGACTACACAAAGCAGGGGATCCTACGCCTGACGCAGCAGGGGAGGCTAAGCCAGGCACACCTACACTAGCCGACAGTGAGTAATAAGCGGGAAGCACACTAGAGTCATCAGCATACATCACATGCAAAGCAGAAACAATGGCATCCATGTCCATGTCAAAAATCTGAATCTTACGTCTAAGCAAACTGTGCCAGTCGGGCGACGGGCCGAAGCGCTGACGAAAGGGGTTGTCCAGGCGACGAAAACAGCGGGGAGTGGAGTGACCGATCTTACCGCAAACGAAGCCGCGGCGAGGACTGGTCTGGATCTGGTACTGACAACGCACGCCTCCAGAGCCACCACTCGGCACACCACCACGCGCCTGGCCACCGCCAGCGCCGGGTCACCCGGGCGGGAGGACACTCGTCTGCCGTGTCTGCGACGGCTGCTGCGAAGGCTGCGGCGACTGTGGCGGCTGCTGCGGCTGCTGCTGCTGCTGCGACTGCAGGGTCGGCGGCTCAGCTGAACTGGGCAGGGTCCCCTTGTCCGCTCCAGCACCAGACGACCCGACTCCACCACCACCCCCTCCCGCACCGCCGCCGCCTCCGCCGCACCCAACCTTGGGGCGGCGGCCCTTCCCCGAACGAAACAGCGCTGCAGCAGCAGTCTCAGCCACAGCGGCAGAGCCGTCGGAGAAGGTACACTGA